ATAATAATAATAATAATAATAATAATAATAATAATAATAATAATAATAATAATAAATCATTTCAAAACAATTAAAAACAACTGCTTGAGACCACTCTCCCTTTCCGGCTGTAAGCCCAGTTTTCCGGGGCTCTCCCAGGAGCTCCATTACAGGAAAGCCATGTCCTATGTCTCCTATACAGCCCTGGTGTCTCCTTGTTCTGCCTTATCCGATGTTCATCCCACTCAAAGTACCTCAGGAGCCACCCTATAAGCTCCTCATGAAAAGGAGAAAAGGGAAGTGGAGGACGTTTCCTAGCAACCCTTCCAGAGGAACTTGAGAGTGATGCTGGGGCCTGTCCTCACACTTCAGCAGAGTCCCTGGTGCCATCCACACCCTTCTGTGGTTGACCCAAAGGGCAGATCAGCCCTGCCCTGTGTCCCGCAGAGTGATGGGTGGGAGGGTGAGGGACCACACACACACACACACACACACACACACACACGACATAACATGACCAACAACTTAGAACCTGTAGAACGCTAGGCCTTTATAACAGATATTTATCCCTCCCTGTGGCCCTCCGTGTTAGCTGCCCACCCTGGGGAACCCTGGTCAAGTCATCTTGGGAGGATACACAGAAAGACCGAAGTGTCAGCAGCCAGAGGAAGCCCCCCTCTCCTTCCCTTGCTTCTTGTCACAGCTTATCAGGGTGGATGGGTGAGGTCACTCTCCCAAACAGATATCTCCCCAGTGCGTCCCCAGCCTCTAGATATCATCACAACGCCTCATCCTGCTCGCATGCTCCACTTCAACCAACTGGCACCCTTGCCATCTCAGAGTCGCCGCCACAGCTGGCTCCCCTCTCCCTACCCCTGCTGGTTCCCCGCCCCCACCCCTGCCTCAATGTGATTAAACATCCCGCTGCCTGGACTCTCTCTAGGGGTGCAGAGGCCCTGAATGTGATAGCCCACTCCTGTAATGCCAGCATGTGGGAGATGCAAACAGGAGACTCCCTGGGAGTCATCCTTGAATTCCAGGTTATCCTTGGGAACAGAGAGAATTTAAGGCCAGCCTATACCACATGAGACCCTGTCTCCAAGGGAAAAAGGAAAGAAAGGAAAACAGAAGGAAGAGAAGAGAAATGAGAAAGAAAGGAAAGGGTAAGGAAAAACAAGAGACCCCCCCCCCCAGTATAGCCACAAATGCCCTGTGTGGCCCTGATCAGGCCGCTCAATCATCTCTGTGCGTCATTTTCCTCAGTATGGAACAGAGCAGAATCCTCCCACCTCAGAGAGTCATTTGTGAGGGGAAAATGAGGAGACATCAGTCTACCACAGAAGATGGTGGCCCACAAAGATGGGCTGATCCCCCCAGAGCACCTGTGTATGAACAGGAACCACAAGCTACCAGAAGCCGCAAGCAGAAGCCCCAGACCTAAAGCCACCCAGGCAGTATCTTCCCTCTCAAGAAAGCAGACAAATGAGTAAGCCCAGGAGTCTCCCACTCTGAGACCCTATGCACCAAAGTGGGAGCTGGGGGGGGGGACTGAAGCTAGGGGTGAAGCTTGGGATTCTAAGGCCGTGAAGACACTGTCCTGACGAGCTCCAAGCTCCGATGCAGTCACAGGGCAGGTCAGTGGTTGGAGAGACACCTCAAGGGACAGTTCCTTGGTGAGCGTTGGTCACAATTTGGGATTGGAATATCTGTATGCTTCTAGGGGTAAGCTATGAATTAATGGTTTATAAAACTGAGGCCATTAGAGGTCATCTGTCACCTGTTGCGTGTCAGGCCTCGGCTGTTATCAAAGACGACTCAGGCCAAGCCAATAGCTCTGCCAGCCTGCAAGGAAGAGCACAGAGATGTAGCATGCAGGATCCAGGGACACGAGGGGATCTCAGGAGCCCCAGGGGCTCAAAGAAGAATTTCTAGAGGAATGTTCCCAGAAAGGTGCTCAGTCACAGCAGATGGCACAAGGGAAGGACAGAGTGTGAGCCCCTACACAGGAAATGAAGGCAT